TATGAAGTTGTTTTGTTTGTAGTAAAGTCAATATGAAGTAATATGTTAGTATCTTTTGGGAATAATATAATTTTGAATGTTTCTTTTTATTACTGAATTTTAATTTTTTTTTATCCTCGTCCCCTGCGAGTTGAAAATATAGGGGTGGCGTCCAATGATAAATTATAATTTCATGTTATCTAATTGTGTTTGAAATTTTGACGTACTACGTAGTTTTTTTTGTGCATTTGACCTTACCACACCTTTTCTCCGACATAGAGCTAACCTGACCTTGAATTAAATATGTGTACTAGATATTATCAAATATCGACGTTACATAACAAAAACGATAAAAATTCGAAAGTTACAATATTTCGGTCATGTAATGAGACATCCAGAGAGATATAACCTTCTACACCTCATAATACAAGGTAAGATCGAAGGAAGGAGAGGCCCAAGCCGACGAAGAACATCCTGGCTACGAAATCTCCGAGAATGGTATCAAGAAATCACCGCTAATTTATTTAGGGCCGCCGTGAATAAGGTTATTATTACCAATATGATCGCCAACGTTTGATAATCGGACAGGGCACTGAAAGAAGAAGAAGAAGAAGACGGAGGAAAGTGTTGGTCGTGTTGTATTTATTCCAAATACAAACCAATCATTGATATATAAACTACCATCTGTTTGTAACAATGCTGTGGCAATACTGCCGAGCTTTTTGCAATTATAAAAGGTGTTACCTGGTTAACATCCAATAACTTACTCGAAGGAGTAATATTACAGATTCTAAATCTACATTAGACTCTATAAAAAATACAAAATTTGAAGGAATGAAGTGTCCTATGTTATGTTGTTTAACAAACACGATTGCAAATTTAAATATAACATTTATTCGGTTGAGAGGCCATGTAGGTATACCAGGAAATGAAAAAGTTGATACTCTAGCTAATAAAGCAGTGCAGAATGGAGTATTTTGCAATATTTTTACAGTAAGCGATATATTTACTCAAAAAAAAATAAATTAAGGCTGATATGGGAACAGAAATGGGAGAATATTGAACTAATTAATTTTGGAGTATCAATCAAAAATTTATCTAACTCATTACTTTTTCGTTAATTTTTTAATACCTTTTTGATATTTTTACTTAAATTTTTGATTTCGCTTAAAGTTACTGTGTATGCCGACAATACAATCTCTTTTAGTTCATTTTATTTACATTACCTATTAGCTTCTAGAATTAGCCTTTTTGGTAATTTATATACAGATTTAGTTTTTTTTTTATTATTATTCCTAAAATCTAGTTTTTATTTTAAAGTATTTTTATTCTAACCACGTGCATTCTACCTAAGCATGTATTTTAGTCATTTAATAAAAATACTCTTTCAACTTTATACAGCGCATTTTACGAGCATTTTAAGAAATAATCCTGAAAAACGTCGATTTTTAATTTTAATTTACCGTATTTTAAAATAATATTCTAATATACAGGGTGAATTACTTTCGAGTAATGACGTCACCGTCATTTTTTTTAATGGAATATCCCCATTTTGTCTCAATTTTCGGATTACTCTAGCTGAGCTGATTCCAAAAATGTATCACATGTTGATTTAAATTGGTACAGGGTGAACAAAAATACAGTTTTGTGTGTGATCATAAAGTAACGCGCTAGTTAAATTCAAAATATTATCAAAAATACTTATTGTCTAGCGGACAGAATATGATGAAGTACATGACTTATAAATATTCGAACTGCAGCCCTTTCTGTATTTAACAGTAACCCAAACGTTGTACAAATTCTTGTTGAACCTTGTTTATTGTGTCTGGAAAAATATTGTTTATTGCTGTTCGAATTATCTGTTGTAATTCTTGAATATTTGCTGGTTTCGTTTGATACACAACATTCTTCAGATGGCATAGCAACTGCCAAAACCAGTGGGACGTGTTAAACCTGCTATCATGAACCAGATGAGATGTCACCAGAACAAGAATAGAAGACTTTTTATTCGTTTTTTAAAATAAAAACTTAACTTTATTATAATAAATACCGCATGCTTGAGTGTATTTATTTAATTTACAACAATGGTTTAGGTGACACCAAAATCAAATTTGTAAAAAACTTGGTTTTCTCAGTTAGAGTGCTGCCGAGTGTTGGACTCTCAAAGGTAAATATAAAGGGCTCATAGATTCATTCGAAAAGTTATTGGAGGCGAATATTTAAAATAGAAAATCATTTATTATTATTTAAACAAGTAATCATTTGATTTGAGTATATTTTAATTAAAGTTATTTGGGTAGACCCCATATATAATAATATTTTACCCGCCTTTGATTCACCATCTTGTTTTCCGTATTTTTAGTTCTGGGTACTCTTTTTAAGCTTTTATAAGTAAATGCATGCACGAGGCCTTATCTGATTTACGATTGCGAAATTATCCATTGTGCATCATGTTTATGTAAAACAACTTAATAAATAAAGAAGTCCACGTAAGTCGGAAAACAGTGGGCTTGCGATACAACAGATAAAAAAACAATGTGTAACTATACACAAAGAAAACAGAAAATGTAATGGTCTTTCTATGAAATAACCTATATTGAGATTTCATAAATGGTTGTATACCCCAGTATAGGATTAAGTCGCACAAGCTTTCTATATTTTATTTCTTGGGTAAATCAATCCCTTCTGATTGAGATCATCTAGAGAATATCTCTCTATTTTTTACTGTCTCTAGTTTTCCTTAGAATTACCTGATCCCTGGCCTATGTTATTCCTTCTGGATTCTATTGTATAATTGTGTATGTCCTTATTTCATTTTCTGATCACCAGACACGACCTAGCCAACTAATCCTATATTGCTTTATTTGTAAGTCTTTACAAAAACTGTAATACCCCACTAATGACTCTTCGTTGCTGTTGACATTTATCCTGTTCACTACTAGAGAAAACAGTGGTTTCGAACATTTAGTTGACGCACTTACTAAAATTGGTTAAAGTTGCGAAGATACCACCATGCAAAGATGGTCAGACTATGCTTGAATTTACTTGTACGTCTAAATCATTTTTTAAAATTATTATAAAATATAATACAAGTAGACAATTCAAGGAGTGTGACTGTATTATTTTCATCATGCATCACTATTAAACTGATGGGGACTGTCGATGAACGGATGTCAATCACAACTGCATCCAAAACTTACGGTATCCTTAGGCGTACGATACACAACCATGTAAGTAGCGGTGTAGCAACCAAGAAGTTGGGACAGAAACCTTGCTAGGAAGAAGTTCAAGAAAGAAAACATTTTCAAAGAATTTTTCGGATTGCTGAAGTTGGTCCAGTTCAGTGTTTGTGTTCTGCGAAAAAAAAATATTTGCAGAATCCGTTTAATGAAGCAAAGTGTTTGGCTGGACGCAAATGGCTTAAGTTATTCCTTATTCCAATGACCATTTTCAAAGGAAAGCGACACAAGCTGAAATGAGATTATTTGCCACCTGGAACAGCGGCAGAAATGGCAGACAAGGGCTCAATGACTTAATCGACCTCTATCAAGTGGCTACATTATTTTGCCAAATAAAAGCCTACAGGAGAAGATCTTTTGATTTTTGATGGAGCATCGTCACATTTAGATTTTGGTATTTGTGACGTTGATGAAGGTCACAGTATTAGACTGTATCGCTTACCTAACAGTACGGCTCGTGAGCTTCAGCCTATGAACAAGTTAGTATTTAAACCATTCGAGTGGTAAAGGGGAAGAAAACAGAGTAATTAATAAGATTTATCGTTTTGATCCAAAATCTATTGCTAGCTACGCATTCGCTTCTTCCAGTCCTTTACAGCGTCCTGATCCAGACGAGGTTGTGCCAACGGGTCTAGAACCTGCTGAAGCATCACAGGTTCCAACAGTTCACAGGAGTTCCCGAAAAAGATTACTCCAATCTAGCAATTCTATTTCTTTGGAAAGTCAGCCATTTTCTGTAGCCGTGTCAGTCTTAACGATGATCATGATGATAGCGACAATCCTGACGAACTCGATTGGTCTTTTCAACTAATTTTGAAAACTACAGAGCTGAGAAAGAAACTCCAAATCCCTAGACAAAAAGCACTAAACTATAAGGCGCAAGTAGTAAGGAACTATTCACTGAAAGACAAAAGCAACAAAGTCATCATTTTGACTTTGCAACCCTGTGTGGGTCCTAGCCTCCTCAAGATTTTTTTTCCAGTCGTCCCTATCTATCGCCTTCCTCCGCCAAGCACGTATTTCCATATTTCTCATATCTTGGTCAAAGCAAAATCAAAGCCAAAGCAACAAAGTGAAAAAAGTATATAATGACTTTAAGATTTCAGTTGGGACAGGGAAAATAATGCTAGTAAAATAGAAACATCTAAAGAAATCTAGCACTGAAAACTACTACCCATCCAAGCTGCAGTAAAACATCAAAAGTCGTTAACTGATTTTTTTCATGTATGCTGTGAAGACAGTAATGCAAAAAGTATATTCACCTAGAATGCGTAGGGTTGACGTCCAAAGACAAAGTGCCGAATTTCATATGTCCATGATGTGAGATGATGAAGTTGAAGGTGAATACACTGACTATGTGAAAAGCATGCATGGAGTGATGCAAGGATGTATTTTGTCTGCTCTAATCTTTACGTTGAAAGAATATTTATCGAAGCTTTGCACGAAACTGAAAACGATATTCTACTAAATGGTTACCTGCTAAACAACATCAGATATGCAGATGACATCATAGTATTTGCGGACTACTTAGAATAACTAAAAGTTCTAATGAACAAAATCACGTATTACAGTCAACAATATTGACTCAATATAAACATTAAGAAGACAAAGCTTATGATAATCAACAAGAAGAGGATAACAGAAGGTCAACTCTACGTCAACCAATCCCCTGTAGAAAGAGTGACGTACTACAACTACCTCGGTACCATAGTAAATGAAGAATGGACCAACAACCAGGAGATTAGAGCATGCATCGAAAAAGCTAGATCCACCTTCAATCGGATGGTGGCCTTCTTCAAGAGCTCTCTTGATACAAAAGTAAGAATGCTGCGATGCGACGTCCTCTCTGTCCTTTTTTATGGAGTTGAATCCTGGACCTTGAACGAAGATATGTGCAGAAAACTGGAAGTATTTGATATGTGGCTATATCGGAGAATGCTTAAGATCCCGTGGACTGACCGAGTCACAAATGAGGAGGTCCTCAGAAGAATGAATAAGAACCGAAAGGTACTGATCACCATATTTCTGTATTAGACAGGATGAACAAACAAAAGGAGGTCGTATTGAGTGTTAAAATGAGGAAACTACAATACCTGGGACATATTACACGTGCGAATAAATATCAACTGTTACAACTAATTATGCAAGGAAAGATTGAAGGTAGGCGCAGCATAGGTAGGAGAAGAATGTCATGGTTGAGAAACCTCAGGGAGTGGTTTGCTTGCACTTCCATACAATTGTTCTGAGCGGCAGCCTCCAGGGTCAAAATTGCCATGATGATAGCCAACCTTCGTAGCGGAGATGGCACGTGAAGAAGAAGACCACATTTCTTCGGACATAATATGCAAAATGAATCCAGATATGCTCTCCTTCAAGCCATCCTGCAAAGAAAAATATTTGGAAAACAAGGTCCAGGACGAAGAACATAGTGGTTAAAGAACCTCAGAATCTGGTTCAATACAACATCTGTGCAGCTTTTCCGCGTTGCTGCAGATAAGATAAAGATTGTCATGATAATCACCAACATTCGTAACGTATAGGCACATCAAGAAGATGATGTGAGAGATCATCATTTTTTATTAATTATATAAATGTTCATTAAATATTTGGTAACTCTTGTCATTAATTTCATTGCGATTTACACGCTCCACTAATTAAATTTTTGAGTGGGCCATATTAGGGACCAGGTGTGGGCCATACTTGGAAGATGGGTTCCTAGCAAGACCGTACTATAAAAGTTAATAATTTAACGAGACTGTACTATCTCCTAAAAATATTAGATAAAATGTTATCATTGTTCTTCTTCTGGTTCCTATCCGTTTCGGATGTTGGAAATCATATTGGCAATCATAACATTGCTCGCTGCGGCTCGAAACAGCTCCGTTGAGGTTTTCTTAAACCATGTTCTTAAATTCCGCAGCCATGATATTCTCCTTCTACCGGGTCCTCGCTTACCTTAGACTTTACTTTGCAATACAGACTGTAGCAGGGAGTGACGGTGCTGATTTCTCATAACGTGTCCCAGATATTGCAATTTTATGCGTTTGATCGTAAATACAATCTCTGGTTCCTTCTTCATTTTTCCTAGAACTTCCTTGTTCGTGATCCTTGCTTCTATAAAGCCACATCTTAAATGCTTCAAGTTTTTAAATAGTGGTGTCTGTAAGCGTCCATGCCTCCGCCCCGTACAACAACACAGAGTAAACATAGCATCTCAAATGTCCCATTTTTGTATCAAGGGATATGTTGTGACTTTTGAAGATGGCGCTCATTTTGTTAAAGACCGTTCTTGCCTTTCCTATGCGGCACTTTATTTCCTGTAAATTGCTCCACTGTTCGTTAATAATAGTTCCCAGGTAACAATACTGTTTTACTCGCTCTATCTGCGTCCTATTAATGTATAGATGAGCCCCGTTTATATTCTCCTTGCTGATAATCATTTGTTTCGTTTTGTGGGTATTAATGTTTAGTCCGTACTGTTGACTGTACTCGTTTATTCTGTCCATTAGCCTCTGAAGTCCCTCTAAACTATCTGCTATCACCATGGTGTCGTCGGCATATCTAACATTGTTAACTCTTTCACCATTTAGAAGGATGCCTTCGTCTATTCCGTAAAGAGCCTCGTTAAACATTTTCTCTGAGTACATATTAAATATCAACGGTGATATTATACATCCCTGTCTAACTCCACGTAGTATTTTTATGTGATCTGTTTCTTCTCCGTTAATTTTCATGTATGCGGTCTGATTCCAGTAGAGTTCTGAAATAATTCTGAGGTCTTTGTCATCCAGGTCTGTCCGTTTTAAAAAGTTCATCACCTTTTTATGTTGAACTCTGTCAAATGCCTTTTCATAGTCGATCAAGCATGCGTATACGTCGCAGTTAACGTCCCTGCATCTTTGAATCAGTACCTGTACTCCAAAAAGTGCCCCCCTGGAACCCACTGCGTTAATGAAGCCGAACTGTCTGTTCGATATTTGTTCCTCGCACTTCTTATAAATTCTTCCATGGATGACTCTAAGAAACAGTTTCAACATACGGCTCATTAGGCTGATTGTTCGATATTCTTCACACTTTTTAGCCCCCTGTTTTTTAGGTATCGCTATGAATTCTGATTCTAGCCATTTATCAGGGATGATTCCTGTATTGTATATTTTATTGAAGACAGCCGTGATCCAAATTATTCCTTCTTCCTCCAAGAGTTTTAAAAATTCAGCTTCGATATTATCAGGACCTACAGCTTTCCTGCTTTTCATCCGTTTTATTGCTTCTTCTACCTCGGATTTAAGTATGTCCGGGCCCGTCATCCTCTCTGAAAATGGATGCCTATAATCCGTTCTTTGATCTTGAAAAAGTCTCCAAATATATTCTCCATTTGTCTTTCATCTCTTGGGTGTCAATGATTAATTTTCCATTGGTGTCTATGAGTTTCATTTGTGTTGGCTTTTTAAAAGTACCCGTTATTTCTTTGACCTTTTTGTGTACATTAAAATTGTCATGCTTGGCTTGAAGTTTTTCTATTTCTGTACATTTCTCCACAGCTTCTTTTTCTTTAGCTTTAGTTATCATTGTTAGGTGAGCCTTATTTGGTACACCAACCTTATAACTTATTGTACTGTGTGGTATCAGTGCTTTAAACCTACTTCTTAGTAGCACGGTTCACTGTGTTTTTCACTATAAATAAGATAAGATGATGCTTGTAAAAAGTAATAATTTTATGTACCTAACTTGAGTATTAGAGTAATTGAAAAGTAGATGAAGATGCATGCAGTAAAATAATAACGGTATATCACTACAAATAATGAAATCAAAAGCAGCGTCTTTGATCAACACCTCCTCAATAATCCTTTGCATAATTCATCTTAAATGTTTTTTTAAACTTAAATTTAGTTTCAGTATTATGGCATCTCAGGTTAAAATATGGAAATTCTGTTGGATAATAGATCGCCCAGTGGTTATCAGACGTAGAGAATAATCTGTTGTCCCAAGCCGTAAACTTTTGTCTGTTTAGGTTTTCAGGAAACGTAGAGGCGAGTGATTGAATTTAAAGGTGAAAAGGTGTGTGTTAAGGTCCGAAGAGAATCGTCTCCGACAAACACATCCTCCCGATCCTCCCCAAAAACGGATGCAAATTGCCAGGAGAGGACGCCAGCATGTTTTGAAAGTAAAATACGGCATCTGGGGAAATCCATCCGTAGCCCCAAACTTGTCCGCAGGATATTATACCGAATACGTTATGAGAAAGATCGGTATGGCGTTTAGATAGAGATTTTTTTACGGTTGCCGAGATGTTCGTCTGCTAGCTGACTCGTCGTGCTCACGAATAATCTCCCGAACAATTTTTCACTTTTGAATTATTTCGAACCTGTGGGAACGGAATTTTATTGGTATGCTTACTCGGAATTTGTTTTATCGTTGGCATTTTTATTGATATATATCGAGGAACATTGATGAATTGGTTCACTTTAAGCGTTCGTTCAGGAAAACTAGGTTAACAGAACGATTTGTTTTATAAACATCATCCGAAAAACTTGTTAAAATATTATTTACAAATACAAGCAAAATATATTGTATAGAGATCATTTGTAAAACGAGAAATAAAAATATTTTATATCCACTTTTATCACTTCCATTGACCGGCCGCTGTGGAATTTACATTGTTATAGTGTATTTTTATGTATGAGAGAGTAATAAAACAATAAATTATGTATGCAAATCCCTAAACTGTTGATACGGGTGACTAAATGAAAAACAGATATTTGTCAACAAGTTTACAAAAGTATATAGGAAAACAATTTTAAATTGAGTATGACCACCAGGTATAAAGGTTGGAGCAGAATAGAATACAATAGTTGTGAGGGTTACTAATCCCTAAATAAGGTTGTTAGTGTCGGAGTGATGGAGGTTAACAGGTACTAATGAATTTGCAAGAAATGTAAGATGTTTATTTTATTGGTTATATATAACCAATAAAAGTTTAATAAGTACCTACCTATTTGCAAAATAAAGTTTAATTCTTTAGATAAAATAAAACGTTTTATTTTATCTGAAATTAGTGCATTCCACGAAGTAAGGGTTTCAACAATCAAACATTTAATTATTTAATTCCAGGAATCTACGACAGTAATTGACTAGATAATTACCTTCTAAACTTATTCCACAGAAAATGTGATAGTGGGTTTTTCCATTTTGTAGGAAGGTCCAAGTGACGTATTCAAAATTCTTAACAGTTCACCAAAAGTAGGTACTTCAGTTGCAAGGTGCAGTTTATTGTATATACTAGTGTTATGGGAAATTTGGAAGTGCCGTGTAAACGCCGAAAAATTGGTCCTTTAACAGTTAATCAAAAAACATTAATATTTAATTGTTTTAAATCATTTACAGACAAACGTTTATGTGAAAGTGTTGATGAGAGCGTTGAGTTAGTTAGCAGTACACTTGGTGTTGGGAAATCTACGATTTACAGAGTTATTAAAGAAGAGAAATGTGGTAGTTTTCAAATGCCACGTAATGCTCCAGGGAAACCTAATTTTCAAATAGAATATCATTTTAAAGAAGGACTTCGACGGAAAGTGCATGAATTCTTCTTTAGACAAGAATTTCCAATATTGGATAAAGTTCTTGTCTCAGTTCGAGATGATAAGGATTACCCAGAAATGAGTCGAAATACGTTATGGAAACTTTTAAAAGAAATAGGCTTCCGCTGGAAAAAGAATCCCAGAAAGTCTATTTTATTAGAAATAAGCGATATTGTCATATGGAGAAGACATTTTCTAAGAACCATAAAGGAAATGAGAAACCAAAAAAGAAAAATATTTTATCTTGATGAAACATGGATCAACGAGGGTCATACACCAAATAAATTTTGGCAGGATGAAACTGTTACAAGTCAAAGGCACGCTTTTGTAAATAACTTATCTACTGGTTTAAACCCACCATCAGGAAAGAAACGCAGGCTGATAATAGTACACATTGGCAGTTCAGACGGTTTTGTTGAAGGTTTATTAACTTTTGAATCAACTCGTACCGGTGACTACCATGAAGACATGAACGCTGATGTCTTTCAAGAATGGTTCGAACAAATGATAGATCTTCTTCATACGAACTGTGTAATAGTAATGGATAATGCAAGTTATCACTCCAGACTTATAGAAGGACTGCCCACAACCAAGTGGTTAAAAAAAGCAGCAGAATTGGCTGAGTTCAAAAAATATTACGTACCATCCCGGATCTATAAGAAAGGAACTTTATTCGTTGTGTGCCCTTCATAAAGAAAAATTTATAAAATACAAAATGGATGAAATTGCCAAAAATCGTGGAATGACAGTACTTAGATCCCCACCATATCATTGTGAATTAAACCCGATTGAACTGGTATGGGCACAGATAAAGAGTGAAGTTTCAAGAAAAACTAACACTTTTAAAATTCATGATGTTAAACAGTTGTTTTTGGAGGCCGTAAATAATGTAAAACCTGAAAACTGGGAAAAGGCAATA